TTTATTGGTATGTTACCGAGAGCGATGACAGAAATAGAGCCAGGTTGTCATAAGCTGAAACTCATAATTTTCCTACTTTTTATTGTGAATTTATTGTGGATAACAATCAGGATTTGAGTGAAAAAAATGTATGGAATGGTCACCTTAACATAAACTGAGACACTTTTAATCTATGGCAAAAGGTGCGTAAATTGAAAATAAAGGAGATATGGGATAAGATAGAACATGTAAAAAAATAACCCTTTTTATTACTATTTTGATAATTATGATGTAGAATTTCTTATTTATTTCTCTGAAATTCTTGAAAAAATGGGAAGTCTTTCGGTAATTATCCAGAAAAAGTCTGCATAAGCATGGAAAATAATAAGGTAATAACAAAATACGAAGCTCTATTAAATCTCAAGGATAATCTTTACAAAATGACGATAAACCATCAAATGTTTATCAAAGTCTGAGGATCTATAGATGGTACAGTGGTGTTGTGTTTGCATCCATGTAATTTTTGTATGTTTTTGTAAGACAGAACTCGTAACTCAGTCTTTCAATTAATCCAATTTTTGCATCTCTGTGATACCAGTACATGAACATTAATACAGTAGCTACTACTACTTCATGGAACGGATAGATTAGTAAATTCTAAACCCTTTTTCTTCTACATAGTTGTCACTGACTGAATATATCCTTATTTAATTAAAAAGATAAATATAAGGAAACAGCAGGACCTTCCTACATCCTTGTGATTATAACCACTTTCTGTGCAGTTTGTAGATCTCCCTGACAATAAATTAGCAAAAAAGTAGTAGTCTCGGCTTTTTTTTTTTTTTTTTTTTTTTCCGTCATTGCTGGGGTGCTGAAGGCTTATAGAAGTCAGTAAGTCTGTCACAAGGTCTCTTTGTCTTATATCTCTTTTTGTTTCAATTTTCAACAACTGTGTGTGAAAAGAATATCTTGCAATTTGCCAATATTATTTTCATTGTTAAATTTCTGTTGTGCAGTACTGTAAGTGTGTGCAAAACTTGAATTTTACCTGATGTGCATGAGACTTTTTTTTGCCTTAAATCATGAGTGTCACAAATATACCCTGACCTTGGACTGCCTAGTAACGAGGCTGGGAGGTGACACAGTACAATGATTGAGAAAATCAAAGATCTTACAAATGATAATACTGTGGAGGCGTGATCAAGATTATACCACTAATGTAGTAGTGTCAGTTACAATAAAAAAGATTTTATCTTTTGTGTGTGTGTGTGACTGGCAGTGTGTGTATGCATGATAGTTCTGTGTGCCAGACATTATACACGCGCTGTAGAGAAACTTTCTCATATCTTTCCGACTTTTGATCTCTAATTTTTGCA